CCTATGCTTTTCTATTGTAATTCTTACTATCCCATTCAGTTATTACGGCTATTCAGCTCTACTTTTCATCATCTGTAATGTGTGTTATATTTAACAGCTGCTAAGCTTAGTTCTCAATGTTGGGTAAACCTTCCTTCTGGATAGTCAATAATAAAACCGACAAAGTTCAGGATGTACTAGGTGTATGCAAATTAGGTGAATCTTAGTGTTTTGAAGAGTTGAGAGATTCATTATTTATTGAAGAATAATTACTATATAGAGACAAAATTAAAAAAGGAATTAGAAACTCAAAATGACGTGTAATCATTTCCTAAACTTCTTATACATGTGTGCATGGTTTTTTTTTTTTTTTTTTAGTTTATTTATTTATTTATTTATTTATTTCTAGTTTCATTACACCTTTGAAGCAGGGTCTTTCAGCCTCCAAACTATTGCTCTTCTGAGCTGCAAAGTTTTTGCAGTGTTTCTGTTCTGCAGGACAGCAAGCTTCAACTGTGGCCTCTACTAGGGTTTCAGAAGTGGCTCCTTGTCAGTTGTGATGACCTAAAATGTTCCGTGGTGGTGTAGGTGGGAGTATAAACCACTTCCAGTTGAGAGCTGCCATTCTGGAAATGCAGCAGGTCTTTAGATATCACATGTAAACCCCTTGCTTTAGAGACAGAAAAGTGTTTCATTTTTACATCAGTGTAGACAGTTTGCCTACAGTCTTGTGGCTGATGAGTGGCAGAATCCAAGTGTTCCAGGAGACAGTGTCGGCTACACTAATCTGCTCTGTGGACTATAGGAAAATCGGCTGAATTTTCTTTTCCCCACGGAAAAGGGGACGGAACTCAATAACTGAACACTCAAAATCCTTTCACAAACAGAAAGTCATTAAAACAGAGAGCAAAGGGTCAGGAATTTAAAACTAATCATGGTGGCTTAAAAAGTCAATTAGATTTCAGCAATTTTATCCACAGAGCTCCAATTTCTATAAAAAAAATTTGGGGGTCTATTAAAGAAATATAATGAGAAGCGACTGCTCTCAGAGTGAATCCTGAGGTGGCCAAAGGGGCCAACAGCTCTGCTCTTTACCTGCCCTTCATCGCATGGGTGGCGGTCAGCTACATCAATGCCACCTGCACCTCCCACGTGGAAGCAGGGACATTGAGCATCCTCAGCAGAATCCTTGAAGGTCCTTCATGTATTTGTGCTTGGCTCAGCCAAAGTAAACTTGTACACTGACCTTGTGAGCAGATGCCTGGTAATGAGGCCAAAGGACCAAGTAACATTTTCAGAAAATTGCTTTACAGTGTAATAAATGTTCTGATTAGATTCCTGTTTCCATCTCTGACACGCTCAGGTGATTCAACCTGGGGATCCTAGGCAGGAAATCACCATTCTCTAAATATCACACAAAGAGTGCAAGAATTTTTAGCCTGAAAGATATTTCTAACAAAGACATACACATGATATGTGTATATGTTTATACATACATAACTTACATACATACATATATATGTGTGTGTATATATATATATTAAACAATGCACAAATTTTGCTATTGTTTTTCAGTTTCTCTTTAACCATGACCTGTTTTGGTTTGATCCCAGTTTACTTGAATATGAAATGTCTGCTTCAGTAAGTTCTTTTGTGACAAGTATTTTATTTTTAAATGTCTCCAGAGATGAAACTAATTTCAGCCACTTAAAAAAAGCACAGTAACCCTTGAGGCCAGCAGAGCTAATATTATGTAGTACTCAACACAGTTATTGACTGTTTCTAATAGACACATCAGAACCAAGAATTGAGTGTCTAGCACTCCTGGAGTCATGAGAACACGACATTTCATGCTCTGCCACTTTTTGGGCTAAAGAGCCACGTGAGCAAGTAGAGCAGTGAGGTTTGTCGGTGATTCTGTCTTGTAGCAGTGATTTGGGTGGTTTTATAGTCTGTTTGCTGCCTGGGGGGCCGAGAGTTGATTTTGAGTTGTTAAATATAGAAGTGCAATGCATGAATCACAAAGGAGGAAGTAGATACAGGATTATCTTCTGTAGCACTTTTATTGAAAAGTCTTCCTTCCAGATAAGATTACTTAATAACAGGGGGTCTTAGCAAACAAAAGATGGGTTAATATAGAGACACTGGTTACAACCAGATAGTAAGTAGCCTGTAAAGCCACAGACCCAAAGTATCTTAGACTGCATCAGCACCTACCTTACACTAGGCATTAGATAGAGATTAAGTGTGCAATATATAGGATGGTAGGATGGTTAAAAACTGATGAAGGCAAAAATCTGAGATAAGATGTGGGAATAAGGATAAAATTATATTGTGCGGGTTGCTCACTTCCTATGAAACAGTAATATGCTTAGTAAATATGTCAAGATACAGTAACTATCCCACAAGTTGTTATAATGATGTCTCGGGAGTCAGAAAGATGACTCAGTGGTTAAGAATATTTGCTGTTCTTACAAAAGACATGGATCAGTTTCCAGCACCCATATAATAAATAGTTCACAACACTTTTAACTCTAGTTTCAGGGTATGGAACACCTTTTTCTGGCCTCTGGGGCACCAGGCATGCACATGGTACACATATATACAAGCAAGAAAACACGTTAGAAATATTTCTCAGTGTTATAGAGAACCATGGCTTGTTTTTTTTCCCCTATATTTACTAAAACAACATCCTCAAATGTGTTTTTAATGAACATTTAAAGTTGAATTGAATTTGTACTTCTCTATACAGGATCCCGTTAAATGATGCTTTTTAAATAAGACCAGTTCAGAAATATCTTTGAGGTGTGAATACACGTATTCACTAGGCCTGCAGACTCAAAAAATGCTGCGCTTAAATGGGAAGCAGCGAGTTGCTTTTGGTCACAACCCTCTAGATACAATCACTCTAAACCCTCTGACTTGTGCTACAAGAGCAAGAGTTTTCTCCTCTACTTTAGACCTTTCCCCCACCCCCATTTCTCAACATGTAAAATGACAGTTGTTAAATTCTTCACGTTTTTCCTATCATTGGGCTGGGCCTGGTTCCATTACTGTACTTTGCTCCTAATAGAATTTTTGCTTTTTTTCCCCCCCCAAGAGTTATTAATTGCCTTTTTGTTTTTCATTTGCTTAGTCCCAGTATACTTGTTATGGTGCTCAGGGCTGTGAGTACACAGGTACACACTGTCTGCACCCAGGGAGTTCTTTGATGGGTTACTCCATATGTATGGCTGGGATAAATGTCATCCTTGTACAGCATCAAGCTGATTCTATTCTCTGTATTTCAATTCTGTACTTTCAGAAGCATCTCTGTTAGCACCTTCCATCCACAGGACCAACTGCCGGCTGTCTGCTCAATATCCTTCTAGGGACATTTCCCTTCTTGCTGGAATAACCCATTTTCCATATCCCGTGTGTTCCCCTTCCTCCCCCTGTTAGCTTTGACAGAACATATCTGCCCTGATAAAGGTGTGAACAGTATATTTTATGGGTTTGAAATTTATTCCTTTTCAATTATTTTACGTTTATACCTGACCGACAGGCTTGACTAGTATAGAACTTGGGCCAGGGTTACAAGATGGCATTGTGGGTGATGTCACACTGTCTTTATACTTCTATTTCACTAACTAGAACTTTACTGTTATTCTGATGCTAGATCATTGGAATGTTATGTGAGCCAAAGGTCTTTGCAAAGTTAAAGTGCCCCCCTTCACCAAACACTCTTTTACCACTGTAAAATCACTGTAAAATCCTGTAAAATCACTGCCTAACTGAACTGTATTTTTGCATAGCATAGTTCAGTTAGAAAGAGCCTGCTGGAGAGATGGCTCAGAAGTTAAGATCATTGGTTGCTCTTGCAGGTGACCAGTTTCAGTTCCTAGTATCCATGTTAGGAGGTTCACAACTGTCTGTAACTCTAGTTCCAGAGAATCCTATGCTTCTTGACTCCGTGGGCCTGCACACATTATACACACACACACACACACACACACACACACACACACACACACACACACACACAGTTAAAACAAAACTAAATCTTAAAACAACAACAAAAAACAAAAGAGCCTGACTCCAAGGCAGAAGACTAATTACCCCCATTTTATTTCATATTAGTAAACCATTTGAATGAAATTAAGGATTCCTGATTCTAATATGAGCAAACACAGTGCTATCACATATGTTCAGAGACATGACACCCCCTTGTTTTATACACAAAGCAATCAAGGCACACACAAATGAGCAAACTGCTTATGGTGACTTCAAAAGTCAGCACCTTCTGGTTGTGACATTGGTTTGTTTTTCCCCATATACTACATGCTAAAATCAGTTGTACTATGCTATTGAAAATAAGCCACAGCAATTACTACATGCAAAGGAGCCCAAGAGCCAAAGCGCCAATCTCCAGAGAAGGCTGGTTCAATCAGTTCTTCAGCTGGAGAGAACAGCTACGACATTAGTGACTCAGAACAAACTTTTTACATGCTTTATTTTGAATAACCAGTTACCTCGGATTGGTTGGAGTAGAGGTGCAGAAGGAAACCAGAAATCCTAGCAGGCAGTGCCACACACATACACAGAGAGAGAGACAGAGAGAGAGAAAGAGAGAGCGAGAGAGAGAGAGAGAGAGAGAGAGAGAGAGAGAGAGAGAGAGTGAGTGAGAGAGAGAAGAAGGGAAAGAGAGCAGAGACACAGAGAAAAGAATGGTCATCTTTACTTAAGGTAATTTATCAAAACTATTTCAAGGTTAAAAGGGGGAAAACTATACCACAAAGTGACATTTGTAGGTATGTTTTATTTATTAGCTTCCTCTAATTTCATAATAAACTAAGAGCTTTGAACTCCCAAGTATCATAGAAAATGAAATGTTAAAAATATAATTAAAATTACTTATTTATTAAAGTTCAAGAATAAATATAAAACAGAGTTCTGTCAGAGTTTTATAATGATCTAAAATAAAAGTGGCTACCTTTCTGTAAGGGCTGATGGGAAGATATAGATGATGAGGGAAAACTTACCTTCACTGCTGCTGTGACAGCAGCTGTAGCCGCTAAATTCAAACCTTGCCGTCCAAAGTTCACCATTGTCTCATAGCCTCTTTCTTTTGCTTGGACAATATAATCATCAATTTCCTGGGGGCAAAAAGTTAACAGTAAAATCAGGTGTGGTAGCATACCCCTGTAATCCCAGGAGGGAGTGTGGGGGCAGAAAGAGCAAAAGTTCAAGGCTATCTTCAGTGACATAGTAAATTCAAAGCCAGTCTGGGCTACCAGAGGCCCAGAGTAAAAAAAAAAAAAAAAAAAAAAAAAAGAAAAAATAAAAAACCTGGGTGTGGTAGTGCATTCCTTTAATCTTCCTCTAGAGAGGAAGGAGGAAGATCTTTGTAAGTCTGAGGCTAGCTTGGTCAGCCAGGACTATACTATGAGATCCTGTCTTAAAAAAAAAAAAAAAAACCTGGCAAACAGAAATAAGAACACATCCATAGATGTTTATTCAGGCTTTTTGTTTGTTTTTTAAGATGGGGGGGGGTCTTACTATCTAGCCCTGGCTGTCCTGGAACTTGATATGTAAACCATACTAGCCTACTACTTATTGATCCGCCTGCCTCTGCCTTCTGGGGTATGCACCACCATGCAGGGCTAGTTTACTGTTAAGCCTCTTTTCATCACACTGGGTAGGGTGTGGGAATAACTGATATACCTTACCCTTTCCTTTGAAGAGAGAAGAGGATGAAGGAATTTTCTATATATTAAACTTGCTCCTCTGGTATAGGGCGACAGCAGCCAAATGACAAAGGCAATCTTCATCTCGTAGTACAGGGGAAACCTAACAGGAAACAAAACAAAGAAATAAATAATCAGGAAGAAATGTGGTAAGAAGCAAAACAAACAAAAAAGCGCAGAAATCACAAAATCGCCATTTCTGTTTCCACACGTGGAGGTTGCTGACAGGCAAGCAACCACAATGGGACTTACTGATAAGTTCCTGTCACCAAATCATAGATGAACTGACCACAGTGGCTCAAAAAGGATGAAGTCACCATTTGGTTAGGGCAGCTAGGGATTGTCCCAGAAGGTAGGTGACACACCTACAGACAGCAGGGGACAACTTCATCTGTCCCACGTGCACATCAATTCTTTCTCCAAATTCCAATTGCAGATGAAGGGTATGAAGAATTAGCACAGAGGCAGAATTGAAATTAGTGAAATTAGTTAAGTGCCCATGTCCAACATGGTCTTTCCCGTCAACCATGGTCCATGTATGTGCTTTGACTTGAATTCAACAGAGACGACATAAACCTTAATTGCTGTCTGACTCTCTTATCCAGTTTTTTCCATTTGTGGCTTTGTTATTATTTTGTTTCTTTTTCTATTTTTGAGATAGTTTGTCTGTGTAACTCTTATCTGTCCTGGAATTTACTCTGCATACCAGTTTAACTTTGAAATCACAGAGATCTGCTTGCCTCTGTATCCAGAGTGTGGGATTAAAGGCGTGTGCCACCACACCCAGCTCCTCTCTGTCTATTTAAAACCATTTTATTTTTTTTCTCTCCCAAGCCTACAATATTTTAGACACACTGTGTCTAAACCATTAGTGGTTTTTCTTAATGTGAATTTGTCTTTACTGTAAATCTTTATCTTTTTATGGTCATGAGTGTTTTATCTGGTAAACAACAACACTGTTAAAATGAAAGTCATAGTTCTTTCTGCTGCGCTTTATCAAAAATGGTGGTGGGTACCTTTACCACCAGCAGTGAGAGCTGTGCTCACCTCCTCGGTCTGCACAGCTATCTAGCAGCATGTTGTCGGCTTGGAGATGTGGTCATTGCCATTGCCAGCTCTCATACACACCAATAAATTGTTAGCAGTGCTTTTTAAAAGCCATTTTTTTTTTTTTTTTTTTTTTTTTTTGGCCGTTTATGCTGAGTCAGGAATCATCCCTTAAAGGAGCCGCAGAAATATCTGCTGGTCTCTCTCAAAGCAGAGTTCAACCGAGAAAAATGCTGTTACCAAGAAACCTTGCTTGTCTCTGTTGTTTTGTTTCTAAAACCCTTTTTAAGCTTTTGTTAAATTTTAAGTGGAAGTTCTTATTAGCCACGTGGGCTCCATATGTAAGGAGTATGGTTTTTCCTCCCGCTGCTGGTCTGGTCCCGCTGCCTCGCCTGCCCCAATTAACACAATACAGTGTGAAGAGGACCACTGGGTACCGCGATACAGCAAGGCCCTAGTCTGAGTTCTTATGGTAAGGCAGATAGGCAGGGGAGAGGTGAGGAGTGACTACTGTGGTCAGCAATTCATCTCGGCCACATTGCAACTTTATAGCATGCATGAACTCCCAATACTGAAAAATACGAACACTCTGTGTGTATCCATCCAAGTGTGGATAATGTATGGTTGGGTGCTAACACCTACGGTGCTCAGCATCCACTATGAGATCCATACTGAACTCTGGTTGTAAGGATTGTGTGGCAAGCACCTACTTAGAAAGAATGTCAGCCCAACTTTTAGCATCCAATATTTTCTACATTTTCAATAATGCAAATAAGGTATACTTGAAATTAGAAAAAAGTTAAAAAAAAAAAAAAAAAGAGCTGTAGGAACTGGGGATGTAGCTCAGTTGGTAAAGGGTCTTCTTTCTAATATATGATGGTCTGATTCCCAGCAATGCAGTAAAACAAACAAACAAACAAAAAACAAAAAATCCCCACACACTTCGTGGTTCATGCCTGTAATCCTAGCACTAAGAAGGTAGAGGCTGGAGGATCAGGCTATACGAGATCATGCCTCAAAACAGATGAATAACTAAGGAAGGAAGGAAGGAAGGAAGGAAGGAAGGGAGGCAGAGAGTGAGGGAGGGAGGAAAGAAGGGAGGGAGAGAGGGAGGGAGAGGGAGGGAAGAAGGCCTTTGAAACTCTAAAACCCTCAAATGGTTTAAGAATCTTTGTTTTGTCAGTTAAAAGCTAAGAGAGAGAAGCTGGGTGCAGGCTTTTAATCCCAGCATTTGGGAGCCAGACCCAGGTGGATCTCTGTGGTAAGTTTGAGGCTAATCTGGTCCACAAGCCAATTCCAGGCCAGCTAGAGTTACAAAGTGAGACTTTGTCACAGAAAGAAAGAAAAAAAGAATATTGAAGTCTGATGGTGTATATTTTTCCTACAAATCTATGTGATGGTATGATAAAATGTTCTATGAGAATATGAGACTGTGAATGGTATAAAGAAGGCACAAGAAGGAATAGAAAGGGATAGCTGGGTTCAAGTCAATACCTGTAGGTACACAGTCTGTCGACCCATCAGTTGATCAATCCACCTACCTACCTACCTACCTACCTACCTACCTACCTACCTACCTACCTATTTATCTATCTGGCTTCATGTAGTAGCTCAGGTAAAGAAAGGATAACTGGGTTAATTTCAGCTCCAGTCTGTGACGCATGGGAAGTGGAAACATGGGCAAGATCTCGGGTTTCCATTTTTTGAGAAGGAGACTTCTCTAACGGCACAGCTGGATGGAAAGGTACTCTGAAATACCACATGAGGAGATCCAAGTCCTTAAGTAGGTCCCCTACAAACTGTGAACTCAGTGATGGAATGAACATGTAATTACACCTCGTGTTGCTTTGCTAGAGCGGCCAGGGAGCTGCTGTCTAGTGGGCGGGTGTCCACGTGGCTGCTGACGTGCAGTCTCAACGTTCGTGCCTCAGAACTCTAGGGCTGGGAAGGGAGGGAGGGCCACGACCAGATGCTGCGGATTGGAGAGGAGTCATTTCGGAAACCATCGAGAAAAACAGTCTCAAGTCATGAGTGTGGAAAGCGCATGATGACAGCCAGGTTCTCTATTTTAAGATGCTGGTGGGAGTGGGAGGTGGGCAGGGATTAGCACAGCAAGCTGCCTTCATGAGGGCAGGCTCCACAGAAAGCACTGTTGTCACGGGGAAGACAGAGGAAGAAAAAAAATGATGCTGGGTAATTAAGTTGCTTGATCTGTTTCTCACATCCAGAAGCAAGAACAGCTAATTAAGAACTCCGGACACTTGGGAGTGCCTGAGTCCCTTGGAGTGGTGGACCTTACCATACAAGTGTCTGATCGGCCACTGTTTCAATCACTGTATAGAGGGCAAAGACGATCCAGTACATCATCCAGCGGACCTGGAAGTCATAAAAGCACTCATGAAACAACTGGCTAAGACAACTGCAGGGCCTCATCTGAATCTCAGCATCTGCGATGCACAGGCAGGAGGATTCCCTACAAGTTCAAAGGCTAGTTTGTGCTACACAGTGAACTGTGTTATCAGCCTGGGTTACAGAGTGAGACCACGTTTTTTGGTTTTGTTTTTCAAGACAGGGTTTCTCTGTAGTATTGGAGGCTGTCCTGGAACTCACTCAATAGACCAGGCTGTCCTCAAACTCACAGAGATCTGCTGCCTCTGCCTCCTGAGTACTGTGATTAAAGGCGAGAGCCACCAACGCCTTGTTTAGTTACTCTTAAACTTACTCCCTCTCTGATTTATACCTTTTCTTCAATACCAGCAGATATTCTTCCTTTCAAATAGGTTCTGTGTTTTCTTTTTCTTTTCTTTTTTTGTTTGTTTCCCTGCTAAACAGTATAAGCAAACACACAACCACTGGACTTGGGACTTCTAAGTACATAATATAGTAATAATCCCTTCAATCCCTCTAACATTATGAGTTGGGAAATGCAATTGCTGCTGCCACAGGTAAGGGAATAGTGGCAAAGAAGTAAACGGCTTTCTCAAGGTCACTTTGCAGCAATGTGGATCCAGGCTGCCTGATTCTGGGATGGGCTAGCCAGTCAGACCATACACAGAGGGAAAACGGGAGTCCAGGAAAACCCACCACTTGTTTTCACCCACACCAGTGGCCTGATAAGCAGCTAGGATATTGTGCTAGACTATATATATATATATATATATATATATATATATATATATATATATATATATTTAGAGTTAGCACTTTAATGGGTCGCACTGACAGTTTCATATGTGCCATGTTCTAATATGTCCTTATTAACTACTTAGTCTTGAGATAGAGGCTTGTTTGGCTACTTCACAGACAACATCAAACTGTGACTCAGGTTAGGGATGTGGCTAGTAGAGGATGTGCACACTACAAACACTACAACAGTGAGTGCCACTGGAACTGGAGATACAGGTAGGCAGTTATGAGCTGCCATGGGTGTGTGTGTGTGTGTGTTGTTGTTGTGGTGGTGGTGTCAGAAATGAGCCTTGGTTCTCTCCAAGAGCAGTTTAAGTGCTCTTATCCATGGGATCTCCTCTCCAGCTCTAGTGTAATTTTATTTCATTTATTTATTTATTTAGCTTTTCAAGATGGGGTTTCTATGTGGCTTTGGAGCTTGTCTCAGAACACACTCTGGAGACCTGGCTGGCCTTGAACTCACACAGATCTGCCTGTCTCTGCCTCCTGAGTGCTGGGATCAAAGACATGCACCACCACTGCCAGGCATGTAATTTTTTCTTTTAAAGGTATTTCTTTGTAGTTAAACTAAACTGTCACCAAACAATAAACTATGACATCAAGAGTATGTTCTAGATATCCCCCTGTGGTACTGAATAGTGTTTTATTGTTGTGCCCCCCACCCCCAGCTCTTTGTAGCCCAGGTTGGCTTCAAACATATGACAATCCTCCTGCCTGGGCTTTCTGAGATTACATGAGTCATCATAACTGGCACTGGCTATAATTTTATATAAAGAAAATCCTATGGTTTATATTTGTCCTTTGTGAATAAATTCCTTGACAATCTGCTCTTGAACGTACGGGGTTTTCTTCTTATCAGAAATATGGATGGTAAAAGTAACTGAACTTAGGCAATAATTAAATGTCAATGAAGTCATGCTGTTGTTCACAGGAGCAACCACAGCAAAGGGTAATCTTGGAAATGTGCTGCCTTATTTTAACAATAATGGATATGGTTAGGGTTTTACACGAAATGATGACTCGGCAAAGCTTTTAGAAAAACTGTGCCTCAAGGCCACCTAGCTTCTGTTTAAGGTTTTTCCCAGAGGAAATACCAGACATCAAGGTTAAAAAAAATTGTAACTAAGGACATAGGAAGACAAAGACTTAAATACTTTTCATACCAGATGAAAACGCAGCATTAGAATTAATATTAATGATTTCTGGGAAAACCATCACCTTGACTGTCCTATATATGTATACAGACCCTTCGGTGTCTGCAGAGGTTGTCTCTCAAACCCTGCAAGTACAAAGCCTGCTGCCATGCAAGTTTCAACTATCCAGTGGCTTAATATTTACCAGTAACCAATGCACATCCTCTTTCATAATTAAGTCACGTCTAGGTTACTCATGATATCTAATATGATGTAAATTCTTCCCTCCTCCCTCCTCTTCTCTGCAGGGTCTTGAACTGTTGATCTCCTGCTAGGGCCATCATAGTTGTGTGTTACCAGCTCTAGAACCACTTCTACATATCCCAATTACTGACCACAAAAGAAGCAAACTGTATCTAAAAAATAAAATCTCCAACAAGACAATATGTATACCCATAAGCACTAGGTTGAACACACACAGACACACACACACAGACACACAGACACACACACACCCCTTTGACTTACCTTTCATATTAAAACACAATGTAGTGAATTCTTAAGGACTGAGGTGCCATCATTAGCAATGGCATGAACTGATACAAATGTATTCAGTCTTACTACCTATTTGTCATAGGAAAGGACACAAGTATGGGCTGGTGAAATGGCATAGGAGCTTGCCATCAAGCCTGATGACCAGAGTTCGATCCCTGGTGTTCACATAGTAGAAGGAGAGAAGTGACTTCTTCCTGAATGTTGTCCTGTTACATGTGCTGTGGCACAAAGAGAAACAAGCACACACATATGCGCATAAACAAACAAATAAATAAGTGAAAAAAAAAAAGACAAGAGCCAGGTTGGTAGTGACACAGGCCTTTAGTTCAAGCACTTGGGAGGCAGAGGCAGGTGGATCTCTGTGAGTTCAAGGCCAGCCTGGTCTACAGATTTGAGTTCCAGGACAGCCAAGGCTACACAGAGAAACCTGTTTCAAATATTAAAAAAGAAAAAAAGAAGAAGAAAACAACAGGAGACACATAGCCCACACCACTTTATCCCACAGTTTTGTAATATTTTAATGAGGTGACAATGATATTGAAACTATGAGACTACCAATATCACATGAGAAAGGAAGGTAGGTAGAAGAATGCCTCCAAGGAAGAAGCAAGCGTGCATCCTCTTGCTAGGACAAAGGGAAAAGGAAGCAAACACTCTGCTGTGTGGGGAAGAAGTCTTGATGTAGGGAAATAGGTAAGAGGGCTGAAGGAGGTAAGCGCTTCCACTGCCTGAGGCCAGAGGGCTGGTCATTTGTTAGGAGAGGTGTGCTAACTTTGAGAAGAACAAGACAGAATTTCTCTGTGTAGCCCTGGCTGCCCTGGAACTTGCTCTATATAGACCAGGTTGGCCTTGAACTCAGAGATCCAGCTGCCTCTGACTCCTGAGTGTTGAGATTTAGGGCTTGCTTTGGAGGCCACCAACACCTGGTTTAGAAAAGTTGTTTTCTTGAGTAGGAAAAGGTGCTGCCTACATTGGACCACGGGTGCAGTGAGAGGTCTAGGGCAATGAAGGAGAGGTTTATGAAGGCTCAGTGGCTGAGCTAGGGGCTCCTCAGATCCCCTAGCAGGTGTGGGAGCGGAGTATCTAGTTCTCACCCTCAAAGTGAGCTGGAACAGTGCATGTACCCATAGGCCTGTTCTTCTTGCTGGTTAGCTAGCAGGGAGCAGAGTAGCCTCAAGGGTGTGTGTTTAAGGTGAGCAGAGTTTTTAACAGCTGTTGGGAGACAATTCCTTGCTGAAATAAACGCCTTGCTTCATGATGGGCTGGCACAGGACATGCAAATCCCCATATTCTTTCTGTCACAGAATTCTTTGTTGCATGTTACAATCAAAGCATCTGGCTTCCATTCTAATCTGTGGGAACTGAGAGGCTAGGGCCACCACAGAAATGGTTCTAGATCTAGCAGAGCACCACCAGGGACCTATTATGGGCTGGCCAGGGCACACTTAATACCTGGTTAGTGGTGGTTGGTGTAATGGCTGCTGTGATGGAGATGAGGGCTGTTTTCAGGGGTGATGCATGAGATCTCAGAGACTAAGTAACTGGAAGCAACTGGAGGATGGGAAGAGTGACATTCTTACCCAACATACTGAAACAGCCAGAGGAAAACAATACTAAACTGATTGTGATCCTTTGAAAGTGTGGCTACTGACTGAGTTTGTTAACTATCATCTTGTATTGTCTGTGTATGCTACTTTAGTAGTTGCCCTCACCTCCCATCATCTTCACTAGGCAAAACAAACTAACAAACAAAAACCAAACCTCAAAGAAAAACAAAGACACACACACACACACACACACACACACACACACACACACACACACACAGGTGTAGCCATTTGAGTCTGCAATCCCAGAACTGAGGAAGTAGAGACAATCAGACACACATACACAATACAGACAGACAGACAGACCACACAGACACACTCACACACACACAGAACTAGGGGAGCAGAGACAATCAGTTCCCTGGGTTGGCCAGCCAGCCTGGCTGAATTGGTGAGCTGTGGGTTCAGGGAGAGACTCTGTCTCTAAATTCCTTTTTAAAAAGTAGAAAGGAACCAAGGAAAGCAGACATCCCAACCCCAAGCCCCAGTCTTAGCCCCAACAGAACCTCAAAATCATCCAGATATCAAAAGGAAGTCATTTGCCAAGGAAATAAATCCCCTAATTAGGCAACTTCTTTTAAAGATTAGGGAATCATCTGTGACATGAAACCACAGTACCTAAAGTGACATTCCGGTTGCACAGTGCATGGGCAGACGTTCCTTGTCAGTGAGCCAGCACTTGCTTTATTATTGCTCCAAATCCATAAGGTTTTGATAAGCCTTAGCATTTCAAAAATCCAGACAGTCACGTGATGGGAGTTCTTAGCTTCTCTCCCCCAGAGGAATTAGAGGACATTTAAAGCCTGAGCAGTATTGTAAAATGAACATACCCAGAGGCAAAATGTACTATCAGAAGACCATGCTCCATTTAATGGGGACTCATTTACATTATCCC